GGAAGCAGCCTGAGATGTACCGGCCAGTGATGTTGATGTCGCGTTGCTTTGGCGTCATGGGTGAAGTCATTGAACTGGCATGTTTCCTTCTAGTCCACACGCACATGGGGCATGGCATGTTCGAGTTCATGTTGTTGCTTTTTAGTGAGGCTCCGTCGGGAGAAAGCATCGGATCCTTGCGATGGAGACGAAGTACCTGACCAAGTACCCAGCAAACTTGCAAGGAAGGAACCGGGACACTGGACCTTCCATTGTCTGTGGTGTCAGGCTGTCAAGGTGCGCAACTGGCACTGGGAACTTGGGAAAGAAGGCACCGGCCTCCGGGACACCGTGCTTGCTGTCCTTGGGCGTGCCTGATCGGAACAACCTGTTTCCCCATGAGGCAATGGCTGGGAACTGCGCCGGGAAAAGAACAGCCAGGAACCGGGACGACTTCCAACAAGGATGCGAGCAAACATTCCGAATTATCGGTCTGACAGGGCAGGGCCCCTGGAATCAATTTCAATGCTGAGGGTTTGGCTATGCGTCCAAGAGGCACAAGAGGTGCCTCCAGCCAACCGTTACGACAAACCCCAATGGCGAGTCACAAACAGGGGGAGAATTTTCGCGCCTTGAGCCTTGGGCAGCTGAACTATGGGGACCCTGGAACCAACCCATCCAGATAAGATGCGAGCTTTCTACACAGTAAGAAAGAAGATCAGTAAGCCGCATACGAGACTTAACCTTTGGCGATTATTAGGTATACTGTAAGGAAACGGTCGGATACGAAAAAAACAACAAGGAAGCACTATCAAAGAGCCACAGCGAGCAATGAGACGAGAGGCCGGGCTTGGCAGCCAAGTGGAAACACTGCGATGGAGCCTTTGTAGAGCCCGACTCGACTCAGAGTAAGGGTACCAGGCCTTCCGCGACTGGTGGCTCCGTAGATGGGACTCGAGGGAGAAGAACCAAAAGTATCCGTCCTCGGAGAGAGCCTCCTCAACCCACTCGCGAGATGAGCAAAAGTGTCGGTCATCATGCTCAATGCGCGCCGATCGTTCAAAGCAAGCCGGACAAGACGACCCTCAGCCGTCAGTGCGAGACATGCAAATCCACTACACATTGCGTTGGATAACTGTTGTTGTTCTTTTTCGTTTGCTGTCACGGAACAGGCATCTGCCTTGCTGCTGGTCCTGTAAGGCAACCGAATCAAAGGGCGTTCGGGAACCACTCGAATCCGCCGTCCATCGTGCGATGCAGTCAACCAGTGTCTCTGTTTCTCTTGTCCACCGACCGGTCCTTCGTCTCTTGACTCAAATCTCAATCTTTCCGAAGCCTCTTTGATGGGTGGGTGGTGGATTCGGCCCGCGCGCGTGAAACGTCCAGGATCAAAAAATTGATTCGCAAAATATATCAGATTGTCTAGGGTCAGCTGACAGGAGATTGAGATTGCACTCGACGAGAATGCAGCCTCGTGTCACTGTCGTCGCCGCCGAGTTCCTCGCTGGTTACGATCAGCAAAAAAGCTAGCTAGCTGAACAGAGTTCCCCCCTTGTTGGTTCCCTCGAGAGAGTGATATCCTGCGTGGGGAACACAACGAGGTCTGAGAGTCGACAGCAGAGAGAAAAGAGACACCGCTTTCTTTCTCGCCCGCCACAACACGTGCCAAGAAACAGCAAGGCAGGACTGGAAAGCTTGGCTTTCGCAACGGCGCATGCCAAAAGTGCCTCTATATACCCTAACCGGCCAGGCTGCGATATGTACAGGGATGCCGATTATCCTGCGCAGGCAGAGCTATTGTGCTTGTGTCGGCTGTGGCCCGGTCTGGTGTTGTATCTGATTCCTCGTAGACAGGCACTATAAGATTAGGGTATGCGCGGATGCGGTTGTCATGCTGGGCGGCTGCGGCTGATGATACGAGACGGGCCGGGGGAGGGAACTCAACGGGCGAAATGATCAAAGAAGCGCTATACCTGTCTGTCCAGGGTAGGGTCCTGACTACTGAGTCGGGCAGGGCGCCGAACAAAACCAGACAATGGAAGATGTGGAAGCCCGCTCGTCCTCCGTACCGACGCTGATGACGGCGAGTGAGCCGTGCAGTCCCTCGCAACTCCTAGGTCAAGACTATAAGTGGCGGCAGAAGCGAGATGGTGGGCAAGCGGGCTACGGGCTGCACCCGCGCGACCATGCCTCCAGATTACCTTGGCTCTTGCGAGAACCACAAGGCTTGGTACGGCAAGTCGGCATCGTGAGGAACGGAGACGTCGCCCCAATGTGGCCAGCAAAGACGACAGCATGGCCGCCTTGGCCTCGGCCACGCGAGGGATCGTCCGTTGGAATGAGGTCAGCCCACGGCAAACTGGAGTAAACGCGGGTCGACAGCCCGAGACAATGACGGGCCTGGGAGTCTGTGAATAGGGCAGAAGAAACAGGAACTCGGAGTTGCTCGTTGGTGCTCGACTCTTCCCAACAAGCCACCTCCCCGCCGGGTTTGCGGCCATTAACCGGAGTTGTTTTTTTTGCCTCACAACTGGTCACTTTGCTTGCGGGTTTATGCTGCCGTCATTCTTGGCAACGGGCGGATGAAACTGTCTTGTCGCCAGCTCAGATTCACACAATCGTGCCATGGTAGATTGTGTAATGTCACGCGGTAGAATGAGTCCAGGGCCCTTTGAGTTCTTGGGAAAGTCAACACCGGTCCATGTCCACCGCGTGTGTAGCAAAAGCGTAAACGGTCTCTATGCGGACCAGCCCACAACTCCATTCATGGATGGAGATTACTGTACAGACTATAGCGCACTGTACTCCGTACAGACTGCGGGTACGAATACTAGACGAAGGCCGAGGGGGCCGGAGTTCCTTGGGAGCAACCGATGAGACTGTATCCGTATCCGCGGGCTTTGGCGCAACTCCATCTCTCCAGGCTCCAGCATTTCCACGGTTGCGGTTGGTAGATTCTGAGCGGCACAGCCTGGCAACTTCCGAGGACATGTGTGTATCTCCTCGAGGCTTGTCAGTAGCGCCGTGTCAAAAGCCCAGGGGAGAAGCACGTGTGTCGTCCATGGACCATCCCCCACATCAGACATGGCGCTGGCGGCTGGCGGTGAGACGGGGCCAAGTGTGAGATGCTCCGTAGGACAAGAAATATCTCCAAATCGGCCCAAAAATGGAAGAAAGAAAACAAAAAAGGCAAAAAGTTTAAGTAGAATGCCTGCTCCGCTTAGGGCAGCCCCAGTAGCATGGGGCAAGCGCCGAGCCGCAAAGGGGATACTCGCAATGTGAGACCCCAGACTGCCCAAGCTGCGACAGAGGAGATGAAGATGGCGCGCACCTCAGCTGTCAAGGCCTGACTCTCCATGGACAATCCAAGGTGGCCTTATGCCATACGGGTGGGCGTGTGCTTCTGGTGAAAGGACAACATGGCGATAGCGACATTTCCCGTCTGACCATCCGGCCGTGAGGATTCAAAGACTGTTCGGCTCGAGAGCATGATTCCAGTCGACTTTGCAGCGGCTGTCGCCCCCAAAATGCCAGCAGTGTTGATCTGGAGCGGTCCAAAGGGCGAAGGGGAAGTGAGTACCGCGCCATTTTCTCGGGCATCATCGTCCCGACTAACACGCCGGAGAGAGTTGTCAAACGACACCCTCGGGCTGGGCCTCTCCCGCTGGCGCGTGGGCAATCTCGTCGGACTCGCTTCTTCTCAAAGGGGGGAAGACTGAAGCTGCGAAGCAACATCGCATGGCATGGCATGGCGCGGATTGGATTAGACTTGGGGACGAGTGATGACTTTTGTGGTCAAAGACCAGGGTGACAAATGGACGACCATCCGCAGGCCATGATACCTTCCCATTCCTCTCCCTCTGCCTGGGCCCGATGTGCAAGGTGCATTCTGAGCCCATGTGAGCAGCCCCCGACAGCGCCGAAGAAACGAGGACGCAAGACAGGTAAGCGCGTGTGGCAGAGTGTCGAGTGGTGACTATCCAACTAGACGGGCGGAATGGGATATTTGGATTAGAGCAGGGGGGTTCATGGCCTCGATTCAGAGATACGATATGCCACCCCCCTCGTCCGCTACCCTGGCGATTGGGTCGAGGGAGAAGAATGGGTGTACTCTCTGTACGAGCGTGTGCGCGTTTGGCCAAGCAGACGGAGGGATCGGGAGAATAGCACCTCAGGAGGACGGGAGATTTGCTGCCTTGTCGGCCTCCGATTTGTCGTAGAAAGGGAGTAAAAGAGCGAGTAGTCGAAAAGTGTGACAGCGTCTGCTTGGGTGAGGCGACCGGGGACGTGGTTGTGTTTGGGAAAGGCCCTCGTGACCCCATTTTGGAATTTTTTCTGACTGCGGTCGACTGCGTACTTTGACAGTAGAGACTAGGGTACGGGAGCAATGGCCCCCAGAAACAGAGCCCAAGGTCCTAAAGTGATTGTTGCGACACGAGCAAAGATGTTGGGTTGGGTTTCTCCTTCTCTTGCGTGCCCCCCCCCCCCCAATATTCGTACTCCCATGTCGATAGCCCAATTGCTTACCCCTGCCGTCGAGATGGGCAACTTCGGCGCCGCCGTCACCCTCTCGTCTGGTGTCTGCGCTTGCAAGGTGCGATTCTCAATCTCAAAAGTCGCGATGGTTGCTGCTCACAGACCAATGGAAGAAAGACACCACACCGCTCGCATCGTACCGCGCCGAGTGGGCGGGAAAGGGACTGCCGTCTCGTTCCCATCCCCGTCCACGGGGGAAACATTACACAGAGCCTTCTTTGGATCAAGGCATCTCGTCGGGCCCAACCAAGAGTGATGTGAAGTCCGACGCACTTTGAAGCTGGGTGTAGAGGCGGGAAGGAGGGGTTCTTTGAACTTCTGGAGTTAGCGGTTGCTAAATTCGTTCGACCCGTTGCTAGTGTACGTATCCCGAACTTGCTGCTTCCTTCAGGTTCCCAAGTACGTATATGCTTAGATAAGACAGCTTTAGGTAATCACTCGACCCACCATCCTCCCTCTCCAAAATTGCAACCTCCAAAACCGTGATGACGGCACCCCAAGAACGAAACACCATCCATCGACAAGGGACCCTCGACCACCAGCCCGACGTGGGGAGGGACCCCCTTCGGCAGCGGTTCGGTGCAGCGCAGGGCTGCTTGCTTGCTGCTTGCTTCGGGGGCCCAGGATTCTCCTCAGCACCGGATACCCAGAAACCACTGGCCCAGATTGCGGATCCCCTTTGGCCTTTGTGCCCTTTTCTTTGTTCCCCCTTGTCCGCCGCAGCTTGTCCCTGGCCGGGATTGGGGTTCTTGTATGCCCCTTCGACGCGTCTTCAACCTTCGAACCGGCTTCGAGAAAACTACGTCACTCCAGGGGGCCGCACCCAATGGGAGCCCAACGATGACTGCTTTTCCCCGGCCCTCGACGCTATTTCCGCCCCTGTAGTGTGACTGTTCCATCACTCGCCTGCTCCTGTCCTATTGTCGACCAAGGCATCGTTGCCGGAGGCATTTGATCACATCCAACGCTCTTTACCGCCGGTGTGGTCACCGCTGTGCGAGGCACAAAGCTACAATTCGAGAGGCTCTGTTCCCAACGCGGCGGCGGTGAGCAGCACCCATTGCAGGGGCCTAAAGAGCATGACCAGGGAATCGACCAACCAGCTTCGACCCCCATCTGACCGCACACCTTGAACGGTGTTGCTCTTCTTCAACAATATCGACTTTCACAGACAAGATCGGCGCATCACGCCCTCCCGGATCTCTGCCGTATTGACCCTCCTTCTCTCACCGTACCTATCAGTCCCATGCTTCGACCACGCGTACCTGACTGAGCCGGCCCTCTGTCTCGGCGCCAAATAAGGGACAACTAGGCACGGGGGCAGTCTACCGGTTCCGACCCTTGGTTACGGAGACAAACTCCGAGCGTCCATGAGACACCACCGCCATGTTCCGGTCACGCTCCAAGTCCACAAAATCGCACAAGACTAGGACCCCTAACAACGGGAGAGGACGAGGCTCAAAATTGAATGACTCCGACACCCGGTCCGCTGTGCGAGACGACTCGTTGTTTGCGCTCAGGGACGTGAGAGGCCCAGGCAGATGGGTGGCCCCGTCAGGGGTCGCCTCGGCCGATTGACTTCAACGTGGCCGGCTGACATGTTGGACGCAACGTCAGTCTGCCCATCAAACACGAACAATGGAGAATCAATGGACAAAAAGAGCAGCGAGTCGACAGGCCTGCCCAAATGCAACACAGACAGGGAGTTCAGCTATTGTCGTTCGCATTATCATTCGCAACTAAGGGAGCCATCCGGCGGCTATCACTCTTCGGCCGGGTGGGTTTTCGTCACCTGGCGGCTGGGCGGTTAATCGGAAAAGACGGTTACCGGCTCAGCAGGATATAGCACAATCGCATGCTTACACTATGCCATTGACACCCGGTCTAACCCGCGTTCGTCTCATCCTTATCGCACGTTTGGCATACGCAGGCAATGACATACATGACGCTGGCGTTGGCTGCATCGCGCAGCAATGTATCTGCCGACTTGTCGACGGCTTGGAGATTGGGGCACGACAGCGCTTGCTAGCTCATCCATTGGAGTCAAGACCATCGGGCCGCGTTCTCATCGCCAAGCGACTGATTGCTGCATACCATCGTGCTGCACGGGCAAATGGCTGCTTAGGCACGTTGACAGAAATCACCACATGACCTGCCTCGTCCGCGAAAAGCAAATGTCGGTGTGATGCACTTCTCAGCGTCCATCCAGCCAAAAATGCAAGTTGGGGAGAAACTCGGCATTCCTCAACCACGCCCCTGGTAGCCCGCGGTTTCTTGAACCCCGCAGCGGCCAGTTGGTCGGTCCCCCGGGACTAGCAAGACATGCCCGCCGCATAGGAGCCCGACGGACGTGGTGCTAGCGCCGTAGCTTGCGCTCAAGACCTTTTGCCTTCGGCTGGTGGACAGTTTCTCGTTGACCTCTGCGTTATGCTTACTGGAGGTGAGCGCAGCCAAGGCTCAAGACACGAGGCAGTGAAGGACGACAGCGCCAGACAGTCATCTGCAGGAGGACCAGGTTCGGCGGCCAGCTCGTTGGCTATCCTTCTCACAGCACAGCCAACGTGTCTTGGTCGTCGCATCGCATCAGGGCAGGGTAACCAAGACGCGCCTCAGACACGCCAGCAACGCAACAGAATCCAGCAGCGGATCAGAAACAGCAGATTTGCTGCGAGATGTGTGTACCCGCCCTCGCAGGAGTCATCGAGCGCCAACTGGCCAATCCCCTCTGCTCAGGTGACGCCTCTCCGGCGCCGATGATGCGGAGTTGCGTGGTGAGCAGGGGGCCGCGGGCAAGGCTGCATATGGTAGTCCCCAGATGCGATGCTGCAGCTCCGTTGCGTTATTGGTGGTGCCCACGGAAGGACGTTCCCCTCAAGTCTCATCTCGACAGTGCTACTCACAAGGTCAGGTTTGCGGAGTTGGGTGTGGAGGGGGGTCGACCAGCCACTAACCACCCCTCGCATCAGCAACACGATGCAAATTTAGAAGAGGTACGGGCGAAGACAAAACGACATACAGTCAGCCATCTGACGGGACCTGTCAAGTCTCATCTCCACCGCGCCTGTGTTTTCCCTCCTCGACCTCAGTTTGGCCATTCAAGCCATTCTGATGCGGAATGGTTTCGCTGGGCAAAGCGGGCTTCAATGTTTGAGGCAGCGCAAAGTACTGTACTGGACGGGTACTTGCACCATTCGCAATGGTCCTTGAACCACATCTTTACCCGTTGAAATAGGAGCACCGGCTCGGATAGCCACACCCCCTCCTTCTGCTGCGCTGGCCAAGTTTTGATTCGAAGAATGCCATCAGAGACACGCCCAGAGCTCCTCAAATTTAGCACAATTGCCAACTGCTTGCCCAGCTCTCGCTTGAGATCCGAACAGCCGCCTTCGGTGCAGAGAGGGAGCTGATATTGTTATCCAGCCAAGGTCGTGCTGAGGCAAACGAGACAATAGTCGCAGGCCGGATACGCAAACGCAGTATGACGATTTCTGCGGATACTAAGCTCGCCAACTTTTTTTCGTCTTTGGCCCCAATTGCTTCGGCGCCGCCTCCGCGGCCAGCCGGACTGTCAAGCAGCGCGTGCTGATCATCCTTGATGGTGGCGGTCCGTCACCAAGAGTGTGTGGCTTGCCCTGATCTAGTCATCGAACCCCCTTCGACAGTGGCTTCCGCACCAAGATCGTTGATAGCGGCAGCACCACACGAGGCCCTCAGAATGAACGACGGAGAAATCTCTGCCGTTGCTTTCTCATTACCAACGTTTGAGCACTGTGAGTAGAGCAGAGTCAGAACGAACCTCCCTTGCCCGGGTTCCCTGTGCGATGCTACCTACCCCACAACTCGCATTCCTGCGCAACCACGGTTCCCTACCAAGATTGCAGTTCGGCTCTTGTGCTGCAACACACTCGAGCAAATCGCAATATCGCTGACGATGTGCTGTACCAAGCCGCACGTCTCCCCTCACGGTTCCGGCTGCATCTGACCGAGAACGAGTGACCGTGACGGAGGAATTGCGCAGCCTTGATGTGGCAGTAAATTACTGTCCAACTCAACCCGCCGCAACCGTAGATGTCTTGACGAATGACTGATTGCGTGATAACGTCCCGATGTTGAACGACTTTGACTTCATGTCAGCCAGCCGTTGAATCTACCTTGGACGCCACGTCACTCATGATGAATATTCGCCAAGGATGAGGGTTGGGATGGCAATGTAGACACAGCAAAGCCAGGAAAATTTGGGGTCTATCCCGCACGCATCATCTCGTCTGTATTTGGACCACGGGCTCAGCCGGTTTGCTGGCAAGTTTCCGTACGCATTGCGCCGCGGTCCAGTACACCCAGATCACACAGCGGCCGGGCGACTGCTAACCATAGTGATGGATCACTTTCAAATGAAGCCAAGATAGAGAGAGTGCCCGACAGTCAGAGCAGTCCCAACAGGGCGGATTGAGGAGCTGCAACTAAAACTACCCCTGTTCTCGCAGCATCAACAACCATGGGGTCGGTTGAACATCAAAAGCCGTCGACGCATCACGAAATACTCTCTTCTTTCAACCTCCTAAACAGTAGAATAGACAGAAACGGTCGTGACTCACAAAAGCAGTGGGAGCTGATGGGGGAGGATGAAGCAAGAACAGCCCAACCCTGCGACCGCTACCCGCCAGCGCCAGTGGACAGCGATCTCCTGTCTAAATTCCCGTAACGTCCATGTTGATCGGTGGAATCCCATACAGGCGGCCTCGGAAGCCACACCCAAACAACCACGCAAGATGGCACCCCTGGAGCGGCTCTGTTGATCAGGTCTCACCGTCTCGCAACGGGGCAAGTCAGGGTCTACGTCAAGCAATCGTTGCTATCTTTGGTCGAGGGAGTCGAGGACGAGCTTGGTTTGAAGGCAAAGGGGACACCAATCAAACGGCTCGATAGCCACTCGGACTCTCAGATGATCAAGGCCCTTATTCATTTCTTGATGGTGCGTCTTAGGCCGTGTGCCCACGGTCTGCGATGACCAGCCACACGCTACCGCCACAGGATGCAACACAAGTGGACAATTAGAGTTCTGCCTGGTCGTCTCAAGGTCTCGGGTGTCCTCCGTTGGCTGCAAATTCAGAGCTGTAGAGGCGAACGTCGAGACTATAGCAATTGCCCTCTGGGACACTGAGACGACGAAAACTCCTTGAGCGACAAGAAAACTAGTCTGCAGGAGTCTCTTCCGTCTTTCCCGCGACTTCAGGCCCGACGCTTCCATCCTATGGGGTTGAGGGCCCCAAAGCACTACGGGGAAGGCAGCGTCAGTCCGGAGCAAGCGCCGAAGGGTGTACCCTGCTGGAAGACCATTGTAGGCAACCTCTTTGCTTTCCAGTGCTCACCTTGGAAGCGTTACACCCAGACGTTTGATCCGGACAGGAACAATGTGGTGGGGAAGAGCAAATGCGTGCTGAGGTAATGAGGCATTCCCGGTACACCGAGAGATGGGAGGCGTGGGTCACCGCTGAGCATAAGGGAGTCACCTCGACTGGTTGCGGCACTTTCGGAGGAGCATCCTTGCCCAACGGCTCTCGGGGTTGCGTACGAAGTATCTCAGGATCGTGATGGAATGGTTCAAGGATGGAGAAGATGGCCAGTCACGAGAAGAAGAGCGTTATCAACGCTGTGGACGAGGTACCTCGATGTCGGCTTCGATAACGACAGCTCAGTATGCCTTGGGTACGCAAGATGTCACTCACGCCCCCACGGCCGCATGCGACGACCGGCTGACCACGCCGTCCAAGTGCGGGTGGTGCAGGCCAGCTGAATATCTCCGGTGCGGAATGCGTGCACTGCTCGCAGGAAGCCAGCGATGACCGCTCGCTGCGTCTGAAGAGGACAGGCTGCGAGCAGCAACAAGCAAGATCAACATTGAGCCATCGGCGACGTCCAACGTTGGAATGCAACCGGGTCTACCAGGTTCTTGGACTGTTGATGAGCAACAATCAACCGCCGATCCTGTGTCGAAATGAGCAAATCCCTTGATGGTCGAATCAAAGGGCAAAGTTGCGTACATTTTGACTTTTGTAACAGCTGGAGAAAGGTTGAGGTCAGCTGGACATGACAAAAGGCAGAGACGCTGGGACGACGAGGATGAGGACTACGGCAGAAGGGCGGAGATTCGGCACGCGAGAGCAAATGCCAAAATCAGACGAGAAACACACTTCCTGAATGGGTTACGAGCCAGCAAGAAAGACTGGGAAATTGGGTGACACGTATCGCATTAACGCATCGTCACCGAAGCCCAGGGCGCGATGCAACGGCGGTCGAGATAGGGCGGTACGGGCAAGCAATGGCGAGCATTGGGCTCTACAGAGCACAACGCATCAAAGCGACATTGCGGCATGCCATGGCGCGTGCAGAAAGGGCGTCGACGTAATAGAGTCTGGGGGAAACAAGACACCAATTACGGTTCCTCGGCACCTAGTTTTAGCGGACGACAAACATGGGATCATCATGTCAGACTGACCTCACAGGCCCTTTCGTCACCGACGGTACCTGTTGATGCTGTCGTCGACTGGTTTCTTGGACGGCAAGCTCTGGCCGTCGAGCAAGGCATCATCGCTGCCATCGATTGCCTGCGTACTGACGGTACCTATTTCTGTACAGATGCGTTATGGCACTGCATCGCGAATGTATCTGACCAACTCGGCACGTTGGCCCTTTTACCCGACTCTGTGGTCCCTAGAGCCTTGTTGAGATGCCCGAGCATTGGCTTTCATCTCCCCAGACCAGGCTTTTTCCAACGCGCGATGGCGGACGCAGGTACTTGTCGCCTCAACAGTATATAGCTTTGGTGGTACTTGATCCCACCTTGCTCATTTCACAGCGAGCCAGGCGCCGAGGTATACCGCGTCGTCCGCCGAGACCACCGCACGCCGCACGCCGCACGGAAGACGACAGCCTTTTTGTTGGCAAGGAAGGCGCAAGTTTCGAGTCTCGCAGGACCCGGATGAGTGCATCATTGGCTGCCGTCATCTATTGCATGTCAAGTTGAAAGTGCGATAGCATGGCGCCGCCAACGCTGGCCTCGACATGGATATACACCGCAGCAGCAGCCGCAGTCATGTTGGTGGTTGCACAAGACAGGGCAGAGCTGGCAGGATCCGACAAGGCCAACGTAAGGCGGGAATGCTGCCATGCCATACTTCATCCTGCAGTATGGACCCGGGAGTACAAGACAAGGCAACCGTCGAGGTTATTCTTGCCTGTGGCGCGTGGGTGTGTGCTAAAATCCTGCTGCCCGGGAGGAAGAATTCAAGATTACCAAAGACGGGACGAGGAGATTGTTTCGTCAAACGGGGTGCCATTGATGATCCAACGGGCGAGGCAATACAAGAAAATAAAAGGACGAGACATCGGAAACAATACGCACGCAGCCCCTGAGGGGGCAAATGAGGTGGAAACATGGCGAGATGCGCAGCGGACGACTGTGCCACAGGCGAGACACAGAGAGAGAGCCACTTGAGGACTTTGGGCCCTGGGGGATGAGGGACATGGGCCCGGTCTGGCGCGTGTGTTGAGTGCTGGCGTTGGGGTTTGGCGTGGGCAGTTGCTTCTGACTTGTCCCCGGACGGTGGTCTCGGGCGACGCACAAGACATTCCAACTGTGTGTGGGAGAGACAGCAACAGCGACAGAGACAGAGAGGAGTCATCCATCTCGCACACCCTCCATCCTTTTCCATGCCAGCAGGACCCCTGTTCTGGACGAGAGCGGTGCACATGGCGTTGTATCCGGCCGGTACGGTACCTTGGAGGTTGTCGTCGCCTGGAGGTACCTTGATCCTTACCTACCATACTGCGTATCCTCAGGAGGGAAGAGAGCAGCGCAGCAAGCAAGCAGAGAAGAGCCAGCATGAGCAGGAGCAACAGCGGTTCCTGGTATTGGAATTGTTCTTTTTCCTTCTACATCAGGCCTCCCTTGGGTTTCCCCGGAAGCCCATGGTGCGGGTGCGGGCTTGCGGCTTTGCGGCTTGTGGCCTGCCCATGACATGACGGAGCCCGGGAAGGGGGGAAATACGCAGCACGCAGCATGGGAATTGCAAAGGTACGTACTTGCAGAGAATGCCATGTCCCCTGTCTGCCCTGGCTGTCGTGGGCCCTGTCTTGTCCTCCATGTTCCTGAAGGTTTTTTTTTAATTCTTATTTTATTTTTCTGCCGTTGCGTTGCCCCTTCTTTTTGATGTGTTTTTTTTTTGTCCTGTCTTCGTGGGTTTTCTGTATTTTTGGACTGGTGGGAGGACCGGTGGCCCCCGTCTCTTTCGGCGTCTCCCTGCTTGCCCTCTCCTGTCTTTTTCGCCTTCACTCTCAGTCTTTTTTTCCTCCAGGGCCCCGTCCGTCCATGATTTGTTCGTCATGTTAACGACACACCCCATTTTTTGCTTCTGTATTGTATGACGACACACCCTTTCTCTTGCTGTCTTTCGGCCTGTTACTCTCTCTCCCCTATGAACGCTAATCCCCGAAAGACTCCCTTTTTTCTGAATTCTGCCCAGTTCCCCATCTTCTGCGCATGAGCCCTTTTGCTGCACTACATACACAGTAATAAGTACGGAGCACTGCGTAGGTATATATTTCTTACGGACCTATGCGGGCTGTGTCACTGGTTGTCGAGCTTTCTGCCCTGCAGCGGTGCAGCCCTTCTGTTCAATTTCGTGCCTTTTCCCTGCCAGTCTGCTGCCCCCTGTCGGGATTGGATTCTTCTCTTCCATCTTTCCCCAGGTACTTGGTCAGGTACTCAAGCACCCAAGGTCCCAAGGTACGAGGATACCTTACGTCGTCCCAGGGCCGGGGCGCCAGCTAGCTCAGGTACGTACCCCACTGGGGGAGGAGACGTTCATGTCCCATTTTGATGTCCCATCCAAACTGCGATTGCAAAGTGACGCCCAGCGTCTCCATCTCGGCCCTGTGCGCTACGGTTACGTGACTGTGACTTTTTTCTCACTCTCTCTCTCTCTCTCTCTCTCTCTCTCTCTACTGCGTACTCTCCCATTCCCCCCCCTTCCGTGGCCGCCCCTCAATTGCAGCCCAGCCAGTCCAGTCTCGCCATCGGGCCAGCCTCGTGTCTCCGCTTTCTCGAGAGTCCAATTTTAGGAGAAGAATGGAAAACAGAAGGGGGAAATCAGTTCGGAGAAGACACAACAAACACATGACGAGAGATGCCACGGAAGAAAGGAGAGACACTGCTAGACACTGCAAAGACCAGTCCTCTAGGTACTCCACGGTGACGGAGGGACGAAAGTGACGGGACATGGTGGGGCTGACCCTGGGGATACGTACCGCACCAGCACCTCACCTCGAGATCAGAAAAGATACGTATCTCTGTGGATAGCTTCTACTGAGATGCTTCGAAGAGCTTAGCGCCGTCTCCCAATTCACGCCCCCGTCCGTAGCGTTCGCCCTCCCATTTCCCTTCTCTCTATTTTGCCTTTACCTTTTCTTGCCCTTTCGTGTTCCGCTTTTTACTATTTATTTTTTTCTTTCTCTTGCTGTCTGTCTGTGTCTGTCTCTTTCGCTTCCATCACAATACAGTGACCTGACAGAGACAGGCCTGGGAGGGTAGCTTAGGTTCTAATGTATGGACAGAGTAGGGGGAATGAGATTGTAAAGAGGAAATAGACGCCTTCAGAAATACCGTGCCTTGCCAGTCAAGATGCCTGACCATAACTTGCACTTTGGACTTGGCCCGCGTGTGCGCGTATCCTTCTTTCGCATTCCTCGTCCGGTCCTCCTCATTACCCACAAACCTTTGACCCTTCACGGTTGACCATTGCTGTCTGTCTTGTCCATGGACCATTTCTGTAGGTACCTCTCCCCTCCCAGGCTCTCCCCCCCGGCTTCTTTCGCCCTACACCATCAGGTACAACACGCCCCTGCGCCCACACTCCTGCGCCCATCCACGCTCCTCTGCCTCCCGCCCGGCGTGTGCGTTGTATCCATGTATCTCGCCATGTTATCATGTATGGGGAGATACTTGATGATGCCCATGTAGGCTACTTTATTTCTACCCATCCATCTGGGCAGCCCATCTTCGCTCCCGTTTTACTTTCACGCCTTCCCTGCAAACACACACACACACACACGCACTCTCTTCTTTGGCCCAGAGAGGTATGTACCTGTTCTGTCTCTGTCTCTCTCTGTCTCTCTAAGGTAACTGAGTCTTCTCTTAGTCTCTGTCTACCACACTTTCCTCCCTCTCTCCCACTCTCGGTCGCTCGCTCTCTGAAGGAGCCCTGTCAAGTCACTCTACGCCATACTCCCCTTGGTGTCTCTACCTTCCTTCACTGGGGGGCTTTTCTCGTCTCTCTCTGACTCTCTCTACTTGCTACCCTGCTCAACCTTGCCCAGCACCACTGTCCGCAAGTCCACACACGCCTGTCTGTCTACCTGATCAGGCCTTACCTTCTTGCGTATCCGTACGCCTCAAGGAGATACTTTGGTAGGTACTTCCAATTCGTACACACACCTCTTGACCCCCCCCCCCCGTCCTCCCGTACTCTTTTGCTCGTTTCCCTTCGTTTCCACCCTCACCCTCTCTCTCTCTCTCTCCTGACCCTGACATTATTTGTGCTGGTCCTTTGCCCTTACTCCAAAATAAAGCTCTTGGCTATGCCTCCTTCCCGCTCCGTCTACTCATAATTTCCCGGGCCCCAACTACCACTCCCGCCCACATAAGACTTGACTGGCCACCACCACCACCACCACACCTTCCGTCTTGACCTGACCCTCTACCAGCCCAGTCAGTCTCACACGCACCGCACCGCACCGCGCTGCTCCTGCTGCTACTATTACACCCACCATCACCCGCAGTCACCACCACCACCACTACCACCACCACCACTGCCAACGACGTCTGACCTGCAACGCTCCTTTGCTGCTTTGCTCAACTACATAACAACAGACCACAACCCTTCTTCTTCTTTACCACACGCACACAATCACCCGCACCACTCGCCAGACAAGTTAACCTGCCAAAAACAAAATAACAGACAACTCGTTGTGTTCAATAGTTGCGCGCCCGGCACTCGACCCGAGGGATCTGCCCATTGACTCATCTGCAACTGTTGCGCCGTGCGCGCCCTCCCGAGGAACCACCATCACCCAAGACTTTCTCTTGTTGCGCCGAACCACCTCCCGCCCGATTCAACGTTGGATTCTTCTTGCCGGACACGAGCCTGCGCGACCTAGGACTGCAACCAGTTGCCAGAAGCGAACGCAAGGTGTCAAGAAAGACACGAAAAAAACGAACGAGCATCCGCTGCGGGATCATTGCATAGCGGCTTGCCAATGCTGTCGGTCCCGTCGACCCCAACCTGGAAATAGACCCAAATCAGTCACTTGCATACAACACCTGCCACATCACACACCTCGCCTTGGAGAGCCCATCGCAGCAACTGCGCAGGCCCGCACATTTTGTCGAGCAACCCCCAAACCCAGAGGCCGGAACTCCCAAAAGACGAATCGACGGACACCTGCCATCACGATTGGCCCAGTCCGACCCTACTCTCGTCCGCCCTGCCACGCCTACCTCTTCTACGCCTACGCCTGATTCACTTTGCTGGTCCGCCTGCAGTGTACCAGTACGAACCACCGGCGCCCATAACTTTTCCACCCGTGTGGTCTGTCAGGACCTCTGGTGCGCCGCATCGCATCGCACCGCGCGGCGACCTACACGACTCTGCAGCAAAGAGATCATCACCCTCTCCCCACGGCCTGCTGCTTCCTTCCTGGACCCGAACCCTTGCCCGCCTGCCAGACAGCCCCGTGTGTGTGGAACGCCCACCTTCATATCGCAGGATCGACCTCCTCACACGCATCCCCCGCATTCTCTATCCCTCTACGGGCCGTTCCACACGACCACACTCTCCAAGGATGCCGTCTCAAGCAGCTACTACTTCTTCATAAAAACGCCAGATCATCCGCCTAGGATCTCGCCGCGGGGACCTCTCCAAACCCGCGTGTAGCGAAGGGCTACCCCCACGAACTTTCACCATGTCTCCCACTTCTACTTCAACTCAGTTGCCCTCACCTCTACCCCTTTCCAAACCTCCCACCATGCCTCCTCAGTCTACTCAGTTTAGGCGCACACGTCCGAGCCATGTACAGACAAACATCCCCTCCAACATTCACCTACAACACCTACAGCAGCAGCAACAACAATTCACAGTACCAGCTTCAGCAATAAGCGCCTCCTCCGTGGCCTCCAGCTCGCAGCAGGGCTCGCCCGTCATGTCCCCAGAGAATGCCGTCATGACGAGCAACAGCTCGCTCCAGGCTTCCCCTGAGCACCGGGGCCGTGAGCTTGTGGACGACCAGTTCTCGGCCGGCTCATTCTCTCTGCCCGAGTCCGTCATCTCGAGGAAGACGAGTGACAACTCGCTCGGACAGACCTTGGTGGGCAGCCCCAGTGCCATGTCAGAGGCCGTCAGCAAAAGCAACAACATCATTCGGCGTCTGTCGAACCGAGCC